GTATATACACAGTATATATATATTTTTTTTTTTACAGCTCAACATACCATTAAATGTTTCTATAGATGCACATGATAACAACAGTTATATATTGTGAGTATCTGTAATTGTTACTGTAAAATTGTATCAATGGTAATTAGCAAGTTCAATATTGCAGTTAAATAGTATGTTCAAATCTGGAGTTGTGAACTAGAAGATGCTTCCCTATAGATTAAAAACCAAAGGTTGTCAGCACCACACCCCACATTTGGGATCTTATAAAGGTCTAATTGCAATTTACTATGACATTTGATATTAAGTGGGTCGTGGCTTTTCTGGGAAATCACAAATTGTGTCACAGACAAAAACGTTTGGGAAGCTGGGGCTTAGGTGATCTAATGCCGATTATTACACTCCATGATAAGTGATCTGATGTTGTGATTGGATAAATACTCAACTGTAATTAAAAAAAATAATAATTTTCTTGTTTTTTAACAGGATTTCATGGTTAAAAAATGTTTGAGTAGTTCTGTTGATTTATAGTATTAATTCTCAAAATTAAAATTCATTTTGATATTAAACAAGCCTCCCCCCACCTTTTTATTTTCAATTCAATGCCTATTGGGAAAAAAAAAGAAATAAAGAAATTTGTCATTGGTACGCACTGGATACATTTTTACACAAACAACATTAAACGTAAGAAAAGACAAAGTAATTAATTAGTACACACAAACTGTTGGTAACCCAGGGCAGGTATGAGGTACTGCCACCCACATTTTGATAACCCAGACTGGACTGGGGGATATATGGTTACCACCCTTCTCCTATACTGTACTGTGATAACACTCAGCAGAGGATCTTTTTTGCAAAAGTAGTCTCAAAAGAAGCCCATCTCGAAAAGAGGCTCATCCAACAGTCCTAAAAACAGAAGCCAAGGGTTTCTGTTCCAAGGTTTTACGGTATTTAATAATTTACTGTCACATAATTTTTTTGTTTTTTGTCTTTTTTTTGTTTTCAGGACAATCTGTGATCCAGATGCTGTAATACCTTACCCTCACCTGTTGTACCTAACATTTGAGTAAGTGTCCACTCCATTATTGTTTTCAGACACTCTGGCTGTCTATTTTCATCCTTATCATATATCATATAATTTATTTCATTAATAAAAACATTTAGAATACAATGACAGAGAAAAATACAACTAACTACTTAACAAGGACATAAAAGAAAAGTAAAACAAGTCATTAAAACTGACTGGATTGCTCAAAAGTAAATCAAGCCAAAAAAAATTTGCCCGCTTAAGTTCATTTCAGCAGCTTTACATCCAGGCTATGTTGAAATATTTGAGGTGAATAATACTACATCTTCACATTCACTTAGGTGAACACTCCATCTAAACTGTCCACACAAACTTTCGGTTTTTTTTCACACCATCTACTGTCAGGGTAAGAATACACAATAAACTGCAGGGTGCTACGTGAAGTAGTGAATTTTTCCTGCTTGTTAAAAAGCCCGAAATGGCCATTAACATATATTATATTACATGGTAGCAGTTTAGACTCCTCACAATGTCCGTGTCATTAATTTATGCTCTAGTGTATTTGGTGTGACCACTGTGATGAATGGTACCACATACACTGTTTGGAAATGAATATTGCCAGTTTCGATAAATATGAAATTAACAGCAAATTAACATGGAATTGTTGGCAATACAATTTGCCCAATTTAAATAAAAGTAGCAGTCTCGATCTTAGCAATAGGCTGATGCTTACAAATAGCAGTAAAAGTTGCTCCTTAATAGCATTGAGTCGATTTGTTTTCTGATTCCAACTTCATCACCTCTTGAAAAAAAATTTATAAATGATCGAAAAGATAAAAATAAATTAAGAAATAAAAACAAAAATATAGATAAAAAAAAAGAATTATTAATCCTAGTCATGTTACATACTGTACCACAAAACTATTAAGATTTTGTTTATAAATTTCCGAAGTGTGAAAATTAAAAGAGCAGAACTTGCGGTATATTTATAAACACACAATCCAGATTTAATTTTATGTAATGAGACATGGCTCGATAATTCCATTAGTAGCTTAGAAATCTTTCCATCTTCTTACACTGTTATATGTAAGGAAGTCATGGAGTTGTACTGATTGCTACTAAAAAAGATATTCTTGTTTCTGAGAGATCAGATTTAGATACTGACATGAAAATCATCTGGCAACAGATAGATGTGATTGGGGCTAAACCAATTCTAGTAGGTTCTTTCTACAGACCACCCAAATCTGATAGTGTCTACTTTAGTAAACGCAATGAATTCCTAAATAAAATTAAAATGATTGAGAATTGTCATTTATGGAATAGCTGGTGATTTCAATATTGGTGTAATTGACTGGTCAAGCCAGATAATTGGCCCTACAATCTCATGTTCATATCCTACGCTTTGCAAAGAAATGATTGATATTGCAAATGATTTGGATTAGAGCAGTCGGTCACTCATCTTACTAGAAATGACAGGAGCATTTCTAATTATCATTTATTTTATATATCTATCCATCATACTAAAATCAATAATTGTTGTATAATAATCCTCTTCATTCCAAATGAATTTCTATAAAAAAAAAAAATAAGACTTAAATAATAATATCAATAAATATTTTGTCTAAAAACCGAAAAATCTACTGATTAATCCCCAATCCGAAAGTATAATACATACTCGATAAGTATTAAAATGCACGCCATCAGGGATTCAATATTTCAACATTAATTATGTCATTATGAGGAATAATGTGGAGTATGTTTTGTACCATCTTATTTTATTAAACACCATCAGAAACAAAAAAAAAAACCTCTACCACTTTGTTTACCAACCAAAAAGTCCATTAAAGTTTTTAAAAAATACTGTAATTTTTTTAAAATTAAATTGTGTAAAACACCAAATACAGGTTAGTAATGGTAATTTATTAATCTTTAATTTGTATATTCATTTTCTTTTCAGTGTTATGTTGCACACCCATCTATTGAACCAAGACAAAGAAAATTCACTAAACACGTATCCAATACATGTGTCGTGCGTTACACCATCGCATTTCTAGGTGACGACAGTTCTACTGCCCCCTCCTCCTGAAGAGGATGCTGAACATTTCTGTATTCAGATCACAGCGAATAAGATTTCATAAAATTTAAAAGAGAGCCAGTATGTCTTTAAAGTAAATACAGCATTTTTTCTCCTTGACATGTTATACTGCCTGTTGCCAGCAATTCAATTTGGAATAGTATGTTCATAATTAGAAATTTTAGTTATTAAACTGGGAGTGAAATGATTATTGTTTAATAATGGGCTTATTCGACTGGTTCATTTCGTTGAGTATGAATTTTCATTGAGTATTATTTTAATTTGACTGGTTCGTAATAAGAGACTTCGTCGACAACGAAAATTAATGTAACCAGAATGCGTTAAGTTATGCATGTGACCAATAAAAATATGGCCGATTGATCAGTTTAGCAACAACATTTCCGTTAATATAATTTAGATTAAATTTCAGAAAATAAAAATTATAATATTTACCCACATTGATGTCAAAAAATAATTGTAGGCAAACAGAAATCAAAAACTGGATGAAAACATTTTTTTAAAGAAAAACTCATACTGCCACAATCCGAAGCAGCCTTGAAATACGCAGCGTGTATCGCGGTAACTATGCAGCCATTTTGTTTTGTCGAGTATTTACCAGTTTCCTATTCGACTGGTCAAGTAGGATTTTACCACTGCGCAGGTGGGTGTGGTTTAACAAAGAATGACCAGTCGAATACGGCCAAAGTTACTTTTTATTGTGCATTGCTGCATACAGTAGTTGCCGACTTTTGTCATAAATGAAATGCTGTGTGCACCCCTATAATCTGATCATGGTTTGATCTAATCTGGGTCGACAAAACATAGGTGCAGACATAACCCTAAAAAGTGTACACAAAAGTACCAGACTGTTTATCGCATGTATCCCTTAAATTGGCTGAAGAACTTTTTCCAACTTATATGACAGACAGTATAACTTTAATTCAGATTATGCATCTTATGCAGTTAATTTTTATTGGGTTTTTTTTCCTCTTTTGTGTGGATAGCACACCTTTATTCAGAATCAATCTTACATATTCAAATCACATGGATTTTTTTTTTTTTTTTACTCTTATAAGTACAGGATATCATAAAGAATATTGAATTATCATACTATACAGGGCATTTGGCATTCAATCTCATTGTAATGTAATTTTTATTCTAAAATATTTCTGAACATAATTATTCTCAAATGGAGCCAGAACAAAACCTTAACACTGAAAACTGCAGTGTATGTGATAAGTAACCTTTTTTTCCAATGGGTTTTTTTCATTTTAAGATTGTTTTCAGCATTACAACATTATAATCTGCTGTATTAGTTTATACAATTACTGTAGGTATGATGAACGACAATGCATATAATATATATATACACACACACACACATATATATATATATATATATATATATATATATATATATATATGTGTATATATACATACACACACACACATACATACATGAGCACATATTCATTCACACATACTTTTTTTTAAAGATTGTTTTATTTATGCTTTGACAAAATATGAATTACAGTTGGTTAATATTGTGCTTTCATTTGTCATTTCCCTTTTTTCTGTTTTATGCAAATCGTAATTATTTATAGATTTTGATTCAATTGTAAAATATTTCCAGATATCCTTACATACAGGTTGTTGTAACTCTATTAGATTTTTTTGCTTATAAAATTGTGAACACTGCAATATTGTATAAATCTCATTAATGGCAATGTTAATACCTAAGAATATGTCTGTGTACGCAATCATTGGTTTATGTACGAATCTAATCAAATGATGCACATTTTTCCATGGTTTGTAGACTGAATAACATTTAAAGAACATATGTCATCCTCAATATAAGTCAGATTCTTTTAGTTTTCAACAGTATAATTTATTGTTTAGTACTGTATTTGATGTAGAATAATTTTTGTTTCCAATTTATATGACAGACAATATAACTTAAATTCAGATTCTGCATCTTGTGCAATTATTTTTTTTTATTGTTTAATACTGTATTTGATGTGGAATAATTTTTGTGTAGGAGTGGTTGGCTCAGCAGCTCTGAATTGGACTTTCAATTTGAAACGCTCGCGGTGCATTTCAATCTACAGTAGTTCTTAGGCAAGGCTTTTTATGTACGACTTTTTATTCCCACCTAAGATTACAAATATTAATAACATGTTACACATAGCGCTTAATGTTGACAAGGCCCTTAAGCGCATCACATTATTACCCCCGGATCAAGCACTTATGGAACACACAATGAGCCCCCTAAAGAGAATTCAATAATGTTGCAGCTGTAATCAGCACATTTATGTTGGAACCTAACAGATACCCACTTGTACTCCTGGATGGAATGGGAACCGTTAGTAAAAAGCCTCATTAAGGACACAAGCGAAATGCACAACAATTAGGGATTGAAAATCCAACCTCAAGATTGAAATGCAGAACCACAACTGCTGCATCAAACCGCTTCTATAAATAGGTATCAGTACTTGCAGAAAAGGTAAATAGACTAGTTGTGCAGGAAGAATGTCTAACCACCCAAAGAGGTGCACTGTATCTGCCTCAAACCCCAGGGAATGTGATGTAGGCAATAATGAGCCCCCAGCTCTGGTTTAAACTCTTTTTTTCCCCCTTTTTTATTTAGCATGGTTGGTAATAGTTATTATTTTATTATTTCTGTATAATATTACTGTACTATATTACCAACCTGTTTGATTGTGGGAAAGTTTATTTCCGATTTTTTTTTTTCTAGTTAGGCCCAGTTACCAGACAACTATAGTATAGGAGGTCTCAAAGTAGTGATTTTTTTTCGAATTCCAGCTTTTAAAAAGATGCCCGAAACCGCGAAACGGTCATTTATATGTATTTATATATTGTATTAAAACTATATTTTACTATATTTCCCTTTATTTGTGCATTTTATAATCAGAATATGTATCAAGAATGGGAATAAATCAAACATGAAAATACAAATATTGGGTCTGCTTTACCTTAAGAGTACCGTGTGAATCTATTTGTGAGAACGTTTCTTCCACAAATTATGCTCTAGTTGCAATTATGAAATAGGCCTAGCTCAAATGAATGATTTTGTTGGGCTTTATGAATATATGAACAGACATTGAAATGTACGGTATGTACTGATTGATAATTTTGTGGAAAATATAAATATGAAAATACTATATTTTCTTTGTTTATTTATTTTATTTTTATTTCAACAATATTTTGTGAGGGTGGTCCATCCAGCCTGAGCTGATCAAAAGGGACCCTCAGTACATACAATTAAAACATAAGTATAAAACTTAAACTTGATCTTTAACATAAGCAAATTAATTAAAGTAAACCAGGAAAAAAAAAATAATAATAATAAAAATCAGGAAAAAAACAGATATAGGCCTACAGTATATAAATTATATAAAATAATGATTTAAGGAAAACATGAAACATTTTTTAAAAAAATGACATATTGGACAGAATAATAATTGAAATAAAAAATAAATCCAAAGAATTAATGAGAAGATAATTAATTATCATCTTTATTATCATTCATCATCATTTGGTATTGTCATGGTCAGAATATGTGTGGTAATTGGGAATAGGAAGAAAACAAACGATGACAAACTAATCTATTGACTACTTCATTTCATAATCTCCATTTAATTTACGCAATAAACTTTCAGTCAAAATATATCGCAACAAACTATAAAAAGAAACGTGTCTCGAACCTAGTTGACTTTTAATAGCCTAGTAACATTTGCATTGTTTCTGTAAAGAAGAAAAGTAACACGGCAAGAAATACAAATAATTGTTAATAAATTAATGTTACAGTAGGCCCTAATGCATGCCAAGTTAGACAAATTTGCAGGCGTGAGACTTAAAAATCCAATGACCCTAGGGGGTGTCCGGTGGCATGCCCGATTCCACCCCCTCCCCCAAGTTTTTCCCAAGGTAGGCCTACTAGAAAATGGATTTTGCCACCTTACCAAGGTTGTTACAAAATCCGCATTTTTTTTGAGAATGCATGTTTCTGCCGTCCACGAACCTATCACCACTGGCAGTTTGTTCTTTGACGACCCTATTGATGCAGCTATATGAAAGGCAATCGCCACCAAATTACAAAAGTGAAACTAGCAATGAACATTCATGTCAACGTACTTTTACAAACGAACAAAGTAGGCCTACTTTTATAGTTACCAACCTGAGGGATTTGAAATGCGTGACTACACCAGTTGGGTGGGGTGGTGACAGGGCCCTGAGGTTCAGGGCGGATTCTCGGTGGATGGGGGTCCGGGTTCTAGTCTCATAATCAACGGTTGGTTATGACAATGAACGCACAAGACCGCACGTGATTCTATTAAGTGATTCTAGATTATATTAAGTGCGTAGTTGGCTGGGGTTTTTTTGGTCGGGAAAGAGAAATTTTCCTTGTGAATTGATTCTTGAACGAGATAAAGAAAGCTCCCTAATGACTCAAGCTACTGCATGACCGTTTTTATATTTTTTAATAAAAACCGATTTCTTCTAATTTTAAATACAGTTTCCCCTAAATTCGTCAAAATTCGTTACCGGTATCACGCATAGACTTGTGCTCATTGTGTGACAAATTTATGATCACGCATGTATTTCTGCAAAATGCGTGTTTCATCCAAAATAACTTTGAAATGCGGGACCGTCCCGCACGATGCAAGACGTTTGGTAACTATATACTTTCCCAAACAAACAACGTATTTTCCCAAACGAACAACGTACTTTTACGAACGATCGTGTTTCACAAACGAACAACCTACTTTCCCAAATGAACTCCGTACTTTCACAAACGAACAACGAACATTCACAGACGTACTTTCACAAACTACGAAAGCCCATTAGTGCCAATAAAGTATATGTTCAGTAATCCGTAATAACGAATTACTAATTCTATACTAAGGCTATAGACAAATGCAAGAAGATGAAGGTTGGAAATATACTGTCTATCCAGGGAGCTCTCATCTGTCCAAGATAAATATCCACATTTTGATATTGACTATAACTCAAATCATGCCAACATCCACGGTCCCCAGGATTGATTGGATTATTTATTGATTGGTTTATTCAAATAAGACGGGGGCGCTTATTCAAACGGGGCGCTTATTCGCGCGAGTACGGTATTAGTATTTATCTATTTGTATATTGTGTTCAGGTGCTACGTGCGTACCTTATTTGAATATTATTTACTATGATTTCCAATCTGCGACCTATAAGCTTTTCAGCTTTTTCTCCACACTATGTGTGAGTGTTTCACTCAGTTGTATGAAAGTGCCTGTACCCTGGGGTTAATCTGCACGTATATCCACGTATATAACACAGGTTAAACATCAATTTTTTCAACGAAAAGAAATGGAATTATACTGTGGAACATTTAATTTTCGACAATGACGGCAGCCATCTTAAATTTAAAAATGGTTCCCATCATAGGTTTTTGAAACATGTCTCATTGAATTCAGTGACCCCAATAACATATAGTTAGACACCAGACTTACGTTTTTTCATTGATTTGAAGTAAAGTTATGAACCAATATCTGAATTTTGGCAGCCATATTAAAAACGGCTGCTTAAAACATGTTCCGCCCTTTTTCTCGAGGTACCCCCCTCCTGCTCAATTTTTTATCTATACCCTAGTGATGCCAAATCAGCAGAGAAACTTTGGTCCTCGAAAAATGGTTACAATAATAATAATAATAATAATAATAATAATAATTTGAATATTTATTAAGCGCTCTTATATATGCAAGATTACTAATTTGTAATAACGAATTGGTTAATTCGTTATTACGGATTACTAATTTGTTTCCTGTAATGGGCCTATACTGGATCCGAATCTGTACAAGAACATTATTTTATAGTTTAAGTAGTAGCACAGACCCTATATAGGGCCTGTGGTAATAGTGCAATCACCACATGGCATTGGGGCCTTGCCTCAGTAGGTGACTAAAATAATATGCGTTTTTGTAGCAGTGTAGACCCTTGCTGATGCTATGGCAGGCAGTAGTATACCAGTATCTTATATTAATACATAAAGAAAGAAGCACAGAACCACATTATATGCCTAGATGAACTTTAAAATTGTATTTTTAGCTCAAATGCGTTTTCGTAGCAGTACATAATAATAATAATAATAATAATAATGTTATATTTATATATGCCCTTGTTATCGAAAACATTCAGAAGGCCTAATGTTCCTTCACGTTTACTAAGTCCTAATTAAAAATGAGAGACAAATATACAAATAGGCCTATATCATATTCCACCAATAACGCCGATGTTAATAATAGTATGGCAGTCTAGTAAAAGCTTAGTTATATACATAGGCCTATACAATATATTTTCAAAAATCTCGAAAACTCGATGCCAAACAAAGGCCTACATAATAATAATAATAATAATAATAATAATAATAATAATAATAATAATAATTATTATTATTATTATTATTATTATTATTATTATTATTATTATTATTATCATTATAATAATAATAATAATAATAATAATAATAATAATAATAATAATAATAATAATAATAATAATTAGCGCAAATGCAAATATTTAAGCGTGATATTTAGCAAAAATATTACGATTACTGGGTTGATTCAGACGTTGATTTAATAGTCGAACTGCTTCGGTTAGTGATTCCGAGTTGTTGCCATTTTCCCCATCTTGATAACAGTCCAGTTCTAGTACAGTACCTCTGATCTATACGGGCCCTCACCTCAGCTAAGGCAACTACGCCACTCAAAAATGTAAGAATCCACGTTGTTCGTTTCACAAAGTTGTTCGTTTGGGAAAATAGGTTGTTTGTGAAAGTACGATTGTGAATGTTTGTTGTCTGTTGGGAAAGTACATAATTGTTCGTTTGTGAAACAAGATCGTTCGTGAAAGTAGACCTAAGTTGTTCGTTTGGGTAAATATCGTAGTTTGTTTAGGAAAGTACGTTGTTCGTTTGTAAACATACGTTGTTTGTTTGTGAATGCTTGTTTCACTTTTGTATTTTTGGCGGCGATTGCCTTCCATGCAGCTAGTTTGATCTCATGTACGAGTTCGCCAAAAGTCATGGGTACGAGATCACCAATCGTCAGATTCAAGATAATACAAAAATAGCAAACAGTACAAATTGAAGACAACACTATAAAATGCAAGGCAGCATTTGAATGATATATAAATATAAATTATAAAAATATACACATATGGAATTAGTATGTGGTCTGGGAAAGGAATATGGCATAGAGTACAGTACAGTGAAATAATGGTAAACTTGATCATGAAATTATCTATTGAAGTTTTCATTCAAAGTTGGAATTATTCTGCCAGATTTACTAACTTTATGAAATTGTTAAGTTGGTACTGAGTTTGGTCCTGCTATGTCCTTATTGAGTAAGGCATCTTCACATAAACAACTTCAGTCTTTGATCTCCATACCTATTATTTTACTTGCTTACCTTGTTAGCCTACTGAGACTCCAAGGTACTTATAGTCACTAGTCCTATAATTACTACTTTGTCATTTAACATTCGGATCTTTGGCTGTGTTGTTTCGAGTTCGTGTGTAGGAGTACGCATAAATTTGTTTACGAGATCGCCAAAGTGTGTACGAGTTGGCATGTTAGGAGCATAGAGAAAATAGAACTGTTCTATTTTCTCTATGGTAGGAGTTAGCCGAAAAGAACTCGCAAAAAAAAATTAAATATACCTATCAGTAAATATACCTGTTGATAATTAATTGAATTATCAACAAGTTACGTTCTCCAAGAACTTGGTCTTAACTAATATCTCATTTGTTTAGCAAACCCTTTTATTTTATTTTCGATTATTATTATTATTCATAATGTTATTTTTGTTTGAAGGTTTGCATAATACATTTATTACTTGCGGCACACCACATACAGTACAGTTGCTTCAATCGTCTTTCTTCAGGAGAATAATTATGGGCGGCCATTAGGGCCAAAATAGAAAACTCGGCAAATAAACTCAACATTCTAAGAAATTTCACTCTCGGCATTTTTGCCACAGTATGTGCACGGAAGGATGAATGGATTGGTTGCTTTAATAAGTTAAATTTATAATTTAAACATAGACAATTCGTTGCTGTAAAATATGCGTGAAGCAGTCCTAATTAGCGCATGATGTCTTTAATAGAATTTATGGTATGCATATAATGTAAGTGTGTGTGTGTGCGTGTGTGTGTGTGTGTGTGTGTGTGTGTGTGTGTGTTTATGTATTCATTTTTTCTGCGAGTAAGCCCTATATTTAGTTAGGTGTGTGATTAATAAACTGTATAATTTTTTATTATATCTTTGTTCACTTTTTGATGTAAGTGAGTATTGTATTTTTCTTTTACAATTTTTATTCAATTAAAATAGGCCTACATGAAGTGTTTTTAATGTGTTCTGTTAGTGTTTTTCTTTTTTGGTCAACATAAAATAAGAGCATTCGGTGGTATATTAACCAATGGGAAAACATGGGTGGCGAAATGTCCAATGGTCCAACCAGTGAGATATAAACAATTTTTTACATCTCCCTGGCCCAACCCTCCAAAATTGGTCAGTGGCAAATGGCCGGGCGGCAACGAGCCTGGGTGGCAAAGGGCCTAGGGTGGCAAAAGGCTAGGTGGTAAAAGGCCGGGTGGCAACGGGCCTACGGTGGCAGAAGGCCGGGTGGCAACGTGCTGGGTGGCAACGTGCTGGGTGGCAACGGGCCAGGGTGGCAACGGGCCATGGTGGTAACGGGCCAGAGTGGCAAAGGCCAGGGTGGCAACGGACTGGAACCCGTCTATCAACCGGTGAAGGACCAATGCTCCTCCTATGGGGTATGACGGCAACAAAATAATGATAGTCCTAACGAAAATTGATATTAAACTGCATACAATAAATAATCGAAGTGTATTAATCAAACATTGTTTTAATTTAGAAGACTTTCACTTATTTTTCAATTACAGTAATACAATATCTTTTAAATAGTTTACCAATTAATATTTTATTGAAGTATTTTTAATGCAATTTCGTATATAGGCCTATTGCTATATACTTGCACACACAAGTGGGAAAGCATATTCCCAACCTGTTTTTATACGTTTTGATTCATAAGATGATACAGTATTAGGCCTATCCAGGGGTGGCGCCAGCGGGAGGGCCGGGGGAAGGGCCCCCCGTCGGGGAGAGCTGCCCCCACCCCTGTCGGGGAGAAAAAGCAATATTCGTCGGGGTGAAAAATTATATGTATTTTCTACATATTAGTAGACTATAAAATCGATTAAATAAGCCTTTGAAACCCCTAAATTGTCAAAATTTTCGGGGCTTCGCCCCCAGGACCGCTATCGGCACCGTTTAATCGAAGCTCGACCACGCCCACTTTGCTTTCGTCGGGGAAATCTGACCCCTCGTCGGGGACCTCACCCCCACCCCTTTGGGCAAATCCTGGCGCCACCCCTAGGCTTATCTTATGTTGAAGTACACCATTGTACGTGATATTTCAACTTCAGTGTTCCTGTGGCCATTTTCACCTAATATCCTGAACTTATTACCACCTGTGTAACAGAGCGTGAATTTTGAAATTCCAGAGAACCGCGTGACATGAATTGACGTGACGACGGAAACGGAAAATGGTTTTAGAAATAAAAAAACCCACCATATTTTGTTTATGATTATTATAGGCTTAAGCTATATTCGTACGTATCAACAAAACTAAGGTAGGCCTAAGTATTACAATATAAAAGTGTAACTTCCAATAATTTGAGATTTTCCGTTACCCAATAATACGAGTCAAGTTTCCATGTACCGTGCATAACATGGTGTAAATACACTCGAATGGACGCTGTTTTGTTTTCGATAAGACTTTTAATGTGTTTTTAAGGTATGCATTTTTATATAGTTGTACGTTTCAATTTAAAGTACAATTGACAATAGCATGTTCATATCTTATAACACAGGTACTTGCTTCAGCGTTATTGTGGCCATTTTCACTTAATATTCTGGACCACCTGTGTAGACTTTTTCAAAAATACCAAAAGAACCACGTGAACTCAGAATAGCGGATGTGGCCGATAGGATGTATTCTAGCATGTACTCCATAATTTGCTGTATTATAGGGTATTTCCGTGATGTATATATCAACAAAACTACTGAGGTAAGTGCCATAATCAATATTTGTAACTTTAATGTTTATTTCAAATGCCCGTTACGCCAAACAATAAGAGTTTAACTTTCTTTGTGGTGTGTGCATGTTGGGGTCTAAGTAAACTCGGACTGAGCTAGCTCGCTGGGCAATCACTACAAGAATAGTTGTGATTATAAAACACTCATGCTTTTCAATAATTTCTTTCCTAGGTCACATTAGATTGAACATTTATTATCTTCTAATAATATATGAGTGCCAGACCAGTGGTGTATCTAGGAGTCATGAAGTGGGTCCTTGATGATTACTTAAGGGGCGCTAGCTTGCAAAATTAGGTGATTTCAGGTAGATTTTAAGTGTGATTTTGTTTGCTTCGAACATTTTTCAATATGGGAATGGGGGAGCAAATGTATTTTTGGTGGAAAACACATCCTCTATATATCCCACTGGGTCAGTCAATCCTTCCAAGCCTTTGAATGACACCTAGATGCCAGAAAATTTACCTCCGTTAATGCATACACTTTGTTTAGATACAGACAGTTTATTATGTTTTTTATGAAGGTTAATTAGTCTCGTAAACACGGTGCACGGTAAAGAATAATGAATAACTAGGCCTTTACTAAAAAAGCATCACCTTATATAGAAACACCACGCACTGTGTGATTCTTTTGGCGACTGAGACAAACTTTGATGTTCCGAGATGAGCATCCTCCTGTTGATTTCCTTGTTCTTAAATGAGGCAAAAGGTTAAGTTGTAGGAAAAATTGAAATTTAATTATTGGTGAATGAATTGATGAATGTAGGAGTAACATTCATTCTCTCGCATTTTCAATTTCCATACTTTTTAGTTAGTTATTACAGTATTAGATATATTTGAGGCATATGCCATCCCAAAACCAGCGTAGGCCTACTGTTGCTATTTTAGTCCGAGAAATAAGCATAAGAATGTGCAGAGCGTAATAATTCTTTTACACATAACTTGGGCATTAGTAAGTCGATTCCAGTAAATGACCCATCATTAAAAATCTTAATGTGAGAATAAAATTTTTCTCGGTCAATGAATGCTGGTTTAGAAGGGATGGTATGCCCCATTTATTAGATAATTATTGTGTTGTTCATGACTTTAGGGATTTTCTTTAATCATATTAATTTAACTGGACCTCAAGACCAATATGTGTATGTGTTCTGCATGGCCGGCACTTTTTGGCAGAAAATATATTATGTCTATGGAAAATTTTGTATGATCCGAAAGAAATGCAAGAAAATAAAGAAGGAAAGAAGAAAGAGAGTGCTTATCCAGCCCTTGACCGAGTTAGATTTTCTCGCAATTCAAATTGGCGGATCTGGGGATCAGGGGTCCTGATCTTCTCCCTTAGGCAAAAAAAAAAAATAAATAAATAAATAAAAACAAATTCTAGACCCACCTTTTCAGGACCCGTGAGCTAATTTTTTTTTGTTACAATAAGAAAATTAGAAGTCGGGAAAGCTCATTTCCCACCATCTAGGAATCAACATTTTCTTGGGGGACGACGTCCGACCCCCTTTTATTTTTTGGGGTTCATCGACTCATGGAAAAAAAGACGACGTATGCAACGCATGTATACCGGTACACACATAATAGGCCTATTTACTGTAATAAGAATGAGAAAAATTTACCTGACCGTTTTCAGGGGGGAACCTTGAATGTTGAAGAACTTTAAAGTCATTAAAAGACACTTCAGAAGTCGGGAAAGCTCATTTCTTGCCATTTAATCAACATTTACCCAGGGAGAACCCGAACCCACCTTTCTCTTTGGGGTTCATTGATTGATGTAATTCGTATTTACTTACACATGACCTGACTGATTGATTAAGCAGCAGCAGATATGGTTCAATTTTATAAGTATCTTTTATATTACAAAGTTCTTAGTTTTGACTGGTCATCAATGTTTTCTAACCATTGTTTTAACGTATAGTTTTACCATATTTTCGTTAGTATTTTACCTAAAATGTCAGCGCTTTCAAACAGATTAGGTACCGTATGTGCAAGGTATCAATTCATGTAGGTCCGATAACTTAAGTAATGTTTCTACACCGTCAATAACGATACCACGGCCATTAAATACCATAGGCCTAAATTTTGTTTTTGTCTGCATTAACATTAGGTTTTCATTTTTTACAGTATTCGTTTAACTTATCTATACCATTTTGTAATCCATGAGAATTCTCGGATAAGATGACGAGGTCATCCGCATATAAAGACAAGATAGGCCTATATTTATATTATTTAAATCCAATGGGTCACTTGTGTTGTTAAATATGAAATATGGCTAGCCATTTTACTACATAAGATACAGAGCGATACATAGGCAATGACTTTAAAGAATTTTCCGCCAATTCCGACGTTATTGAGTTTCATGAGGAGGGCCTCGTGCCTAACCGTATCAGACGCGGCCGCAAAATCTACGAAACACACGTATAGTCGAGCACCTGGGGCCGGATTTATCAAACTAGAAATCAGCTTAAGTTTGTCTTAAGTCCATCTGTTTGCTTAAGTCAAATTTATCAATATTGCTTAGAATTAAAAAGTCGATTGTATGCATGCGCCATCTAAGATGATTTTTAAGCTACGATTTTGCTAAGATGGTTTGATAAATCAGCTTAAGATATTTGCTTAGGACATCTTAACTTTTTTGACTTAAGACATTTGCTAAGCTGAGATTGATAAATCCCGGGCATGAGGCGCAGGTGTATTTATCGATGAGAGTTTTTAAAATTAAAATATGGTCACTTGTCCTCGCGCCTCGTTTAAACCTTATTTGATTAAATGGTATAATGTTGTGCAAGAATTTAATATATTGGTCAGAATATGTCCGAAGAATTTGCAAAGGTTACTACCAATCGCGATGCCTCTATAGTTTTTTGGATCGTTTTGATTACCCTTTTTATGAATTGGGTTAAGGGAGCTTGTACGCCACGCTGTAGGAAATATAAATAATGAGATTGTTCGTTAGACGTAAAATTGGGTGTAATAGAGGAGGGACTTGGTTTTGGGGTGTAAAAGAGGGGACTATGTCCAAAACCTTGATATTAATACAGAATTGTGCACATACTGCCTGCAGCTAGATATCTAATGCCAATATAATATACGTTATTTCTGAGAGTTGAATTTTGAGGATAGGCAAAGAACCAGCATTATTATTATTTAGTAGAAGTGGTTTGGCGCAGTGGGAACGGTTTGATTTTCCACCCGGGGGTAGTAATGTGAAGTGCTTAGATTCCTTGTTGGCATTAAGCGCTATATAAATATAACATATTATTAAGACTGCCAGTAAATACCTACATGGTGAAAATAGCATAGTGAGAATGCAACTTTGTGAGCTACCGAACTGAAAATGTGCGAAGTAACATTAGCAGTCGAGACTACCGTACTGAAATATGAGGTACTGTACCTGTATGGTTGAAATCAGCAGTTTTATACACACTCCTGATACGCGAGTTAAATGAATTTATTGAATTGAACGTTTTTGATGCAACTTTTAAAAGTGAACGTGAGCTACTTAACAGAAATCGAGGAGTTGATTGGAGTTGAGGCCAAGAGGTATTAACTTCATTTATTATGTATGTATACCGTAAAACCTCGAATTAGTGCACTGGGCTTAATCTCGAGATGAAGCTCATCTCGAATTGAAGCCCCCCCCCCTCCTTTTAGTTTGCAAAATTAGCCTAAAAAAAGCCCATCTCAAAAAGTAAAAAAAGAAGCCCATGGGATCTTTTTGGGATAGCATTGGCTTCTTTTTAAGATATTACAGTCACATACACTGTACATGAATTTCAGAAAGCAAAATAAATTAAATACAAGCTTGGTTTATAAAGTAGTTTAGGTGATTTAATGCCAGTTAAATCACTCTATGATACTGATTGATGCTACAGTGGGCTCATTTATTGTTTTACAGCACAAATTCACAAAATTTACTGCATTCATTTAAAAAAAAGCGCCCCTCCCCCTCTTTTCTTTGAAAAATAGTCTCGAAAAGAAGCCCATCTTGAAAAGAAGCCCATTCAAAGTTCGCAAAAAAAAAAAATCCCAGGGCTTCAAATTCTATTTTTACGGTATAATGGAGACGATTGAAACTTATTGTGATAGAGCTAGAATGCAATGTTTGTACAAATTTTCAAACGAATTATTATATTTTGCTAACGTAATATTCATTGAAATGTTGGAAGGGCCATGCTGATAAAGTTGTGCTGTGCAATAATGTTAAGCTTTTATTATTTATTAACTACGGTATACTATGGCTTTTTAAATAAAATGTTATAAAAATATACGTTAATGTTGATGGAATTCCAAGGTGACAAATATATAATTATAAATCAAGAATGATTAATTGATATAGTTAAAAGATTGCTATGATAAAATAGTGTGTGTTTTGTTATAGATACAATTATAAAACTGTGATAAACAATAAGTGATAATGAAATGATTCTCAATTCTGAGGCAGTGGTAAGTACAAAATGTGGTGTTTGAGGTAAAAGTTACCCCGATGTATTTGTAAGAAATAACCTGGTTTAATGTGTTGACACCTATTATATATAATTACTAGCATTTTCGCTTAACCTGGTTGACCTAGTTAAGCTTGGTAGATTGCTTGGAGAAAACTCAGTTTCGAAATTCTTTTCAAAGAAAACATGGTTCCCAGTTGATTTCGGAAAAAAGTTTTTATAAAAATTTTCACATCTACCTTGGAATACTGTAGAAATAACTTGCAGGAAGAGAGTGATTTACAAATGCGAAATTAAAATTAATAAATATACCATCACGGTCCACTACCTGTTAAACCTGGGTGGTGGGCTATCGAATCAATTCCATTTTGTTTACATATACATGATCAATTATGGTATCATCATTACTTTTATTACTGTGTCTTCTAGTTACAAAAGGGACAATTTGAGTAAAATTTAAAATATCAAAAATAAAAGTAAATTTCTTGAGTAAATTACATGAGTTAAAATTATTGCAGGAATATCTAATATTAAAATCACCAGCGAGTATTACACTATGGAAGAGGTTCACCTCAGCAAGTGTACTACATCATACACTTTTCAAGTTTTAAAAAAATCGGAATGTTTTGTCAGTGTTCGGAGGTCAATCTAAACAACCATGCCTTTTTTGTATATAAACTTGTCGATATTAATTTTAAATTCTATCTATATCTTATTGATGTGCCAAAATGGGATGAAGGTCACTGTGGGCAGCAATCAGTAGGTTAGAATTTCCCGCCAAATCGACCAATGTGAACCAATAAGATACGTTCAAAGATTCGGTACAATATCACAAACACTCAGTACAATATCACAATATGAACCATTCTAAAAATACAGTATGAAACATCCAGAAAAATGATCAGTATTTCTCGTATTGCACAAAATATTTAGGTCCGATCATAGGGTTTCGCAACGTCAGAAGAGCGATGGTCTGACTTGCGCAGTGTTTTGTAATCAAAGGTAAGCCGCCAGATGATCTCAGGTGAATGACCGTGGACATTGACGTGTGTCAAGCGTAAACGAGGTTCGGCCTACCTGGAAAGATTTTTTATGTCATTAAAACAACCAAATCAGAACAAAAATCAGCCTCAATCTATATTAGTATTATTTCAATTCACAAATGTATACCGATTTGTCAAATAAGTTGTTAATATGCAAAGTTTTAGTAAATTTTCAGATAACGAACTGAGAGATTTTTAAAAACCAACCGGTACCGTTACGCGATCAAGGTTATTCCAGACCAGAGCTCAAGTTAGGAGCCAAGAGAAACCATTCAACACATTAAAACTCCTGATTCTAACCAAAATATCACACCAAGCGAAATGAAGACCGCTCAAGAAGGTGATGGGTCTCTTCAACGGATAAGGGATTTCGCCAAGAACGAGAGCGTTAAAATAAGTACACGTTATAAGTAAGTATACTTTTCTGTATAAGAATAATCTTCTTTTTCACCTTCTGTTGATAATGGGAATAGTTTTACGCAACTTGTTTTTCCAGAGATGTTTTGCACACAGGTGATAGCTGTCGATATTGTTGGCCCTATCCATCCTATGGCAAAAGATAGAAACAGGTAAATACTAACCATTTTTTATTTTTATACTCGTTACTTAGAGGCTGTAGCATTCCTTAATAATGAAGCAGAGAGTTGCTGAAGCTTTAATAAGTGTTTGCCAGAATTAGGATTCCAAAGGAATGTGTTTTTTCACTTCTTTTCATTTCATAAATGTTATTAACATTTATTTTCTTGAAAATGTTAAAGTGTAACAATTGATTCAAATAATTAAAAAAGAGAAAACAATTTGAAGAGGGCAAAACCGGAAAAGCAACAAAGCTTGTAGATGGTTGACCTGAGAAAAAGAAAAACATGAAACGGAAAACAGAAAAATCAACAACAGATCACAAAGAGACAGAAAAAGTTTATAACTGATCGTCATCTAAGAAATGCTAATAAATCATTGATTTTATTATTTAAAAAAATGTTGTTTCAGGTTAAATTGCGGAATAAAATATGTTCTTTAAGTTTGATAGAATATTTTTTTTTAAAGTTAGATATCGATAACAGCATGCTCCCCATAATTAGCAGAAGGAAGGTTAATGCTGTGAGGTTCATAAGTGTAGGAGCTAAAAAAGATACTTATTTTAATTCTACCTTTGTTAGATTCCAACGTTTATTCAATCAACTTCCAGACACTATCAAGGAACACCTGGTTATTGATTTGAACTGCTTCAAAAATGTTCTGAAATGATATCTGCTTAGACCGTGACTACCTTTGAAGCTTTATTCGAATTGACCGCCGATTTTTGCCTAACGATTTTAACTTGATGATATTTTATGTATTTGTGTTAACCCACTATTGGTTGGGACTACCCTCGATGGTGTTTTGTTACGCCCATGTTTCCCCGGGGCCAATGGTGAGTTTTTTGATCACGTGGTTCCCGAATAAATAAATTTAAATTGAATAGAAAAGCTTTTCTCTTATACAAATTGTTTTAAGTTATTGTGTAAATTATTGTAACATTTTGGACCGCTAAATCTGATATTATACTGAAAAGATGTATTTTTGCAACGGAATATGCAGATTTATGCCAGTTCTGGTAAAATAATTATGGTAAGAGAAGAGTTCTGTCGATTTCGAAATAAGTTAATAAATTGTGGGGGATTCAAGGACTTGGTTGAGGAAAACAGGAAGTTGCATTGTTGCAGTATATTGATGTCTTTCAATTTAAGTAGTTTTAGGCATTTAATTTTTTAATAATGGGTCAGTGTGGTCTAGTGGTGGTGCAGCAGATAGAATACGATTTGCTTTCTTCTGTTTCCCAAAAAGACTTAACGGACCAGCGATCACAATTTACATCGAAGGTAATGAATCAGGTAAGCACACTTTTGTCCATTAAATAAATGACTTTACCCTACCACCCAGCCTGTAATGGACTATGAAAGGTTTAATGGGACATTAAAACAAATGCTTAAACGTATGTGTGGTGAGCGCCCCACAGATTGGGATAGATAACTTGATCCTCTCCATTAGAGCGTCTCCACAGGAAAGTCTTGGGTTCCCTCCTTTCAAACTTTATGTGCGTAAGGTTTGTGGACCATTGTCAATTTTGCGGGAGCTATGGGCAGGAGAAGTGGATACCCCAGAAACCAAAACCACGTACCAGAATGCCTTAGATCTGAAACGACGTATGAATGAAACGTGCCAAGTTGCACAGAAGCACCACTACGATAAGAAAAGTAGGCTACGTAAATTTGAAGTAGGGGATAAGGTCCTCTTGTTACCGACTGATAGAAATAAGCTCTTGCTTCCATTGAAAGGACCGCTTCCAATAGTAACAAAGGTTGGAAATCTAAAAAATAGAATTTGATTAATGTTAAGTAAAGGCTTGTTCATGACAACCTCTTAAAGTTACATTATTAACGGGCCTAAAGAAAGACGTAGGTGCAGCGATAGAAGATGGTACTTGAATCCACAGATTGTGTCTTGGATTTGTTCGGCACAGCCGTCATTGAATGTATGAAAATTATCAGAATTATCACCTGTCCAATGTAAAACTTTTTGCAGCTTCATCCTCTTCTGGCAAAAGATATCACAGCAGATGTTCATATTATCAATTGTCTTGATAAGTCTTGCAGAGCGGATGTAAAACAACCGTAAAAGAAAAACTACTCGGATGTCTTTACATATTTGCCGGATTAGGACATCATGGAATCAACCTGAAAACCGATGATCCGTACTAAACCGTACCCACTACCTCACGCACACAGATACAGCAAAAGTGAGTATGATATGGGAGTAATCGAACCTCATTGTGTGCCCCGTATGCATATTTTGGTTAAAAGGCCTGATGGATCAAATCGATTCTGTGTCGATTTTTTTGACAAATTAAGCAAGGTAGGCCTACAATATTTGATGCCGAAACTATACCGAATCAAGAGGAATTGTTCACAAAATAGCCAAAGATCATTTTGTTTTCACAAAAATAGATCTCAGTAAAGGTTACTAACAGGTTCCTATGAAAGAAGCTTTTAAACCCCTCATTATGACCCCAGATAAGTTACTTCAATTTAAAGTTTGGCTTAGTGAATGGACCGGCTACTTTTAGTAGGATCATGAGAAAGTTGTATGGCATTAATGACATCCTTAATTATATTGATGATATTCTTATTCACAGTGATTATTAGAAACATCAAGCTAAAGGAATTTTTTTTGACGATTACGAGCGGCAAGCTTGATAGCACATTCCAGCAAGTGTTTATTGTGTACGAAACAATCGAATTTCTCGGGCATGTTTTGAAGGAAAGGGCAAGCTTCAAAATCGACCAGAGAAAATACAAATTATCCTGGATGCACAAACGGTCGAAAAAGCAACTCCGACCATTCCTGGGAATGACCAATAATTATGTTTAAGAGGTAAGTCAAGAGAATGATTTAATCATGCTCAAGGCTAAGTTAACATTACATTACAAGTTTTCGTATTCTTTGTCTCCCAGACTCGTTTGTTTTTAAGGACAGCCAGTGAAGGAGGAATTCATAACTGTTATGGAAAAGAGGGGCTTTCAATAATCTGGAGCGTATGTAAGTTCAATCCCAAAAAGAAAGGGGTCCGAGAAAATTTTGATTCCTAAATGGGCGGGAAATGACTTTTCTGACTTCTGAGTTGTCTTTTAATGACTTTTAAGTTCTTCAAAATTCAAGGTTTTTCCCTCTTGAAAACGATTCCATGAATCAATGACCTCCCCCCCCCCCAAAAACCCATCCCCCACCCCCCCCCCCCCCCAAAAAAAAAAGGGGATTCTAGTTCTCCCAGGAAAAAATTTTGATTTAAAATGGCAGGAAATGAGAAAATCCTTACCTCTGAAGTGCCTTTTAATTACGATACAGTACTTAAGTTCTCAAAATTAAAGGTTTCCGCTCTTGAAAACGGTCAGGTAATTTTTTCTCATTCGTATTACAGTAAATATGCCTTATTTGCGTATACATACATAAAAAAAAAGAGTAATTGCATACGTAGTCTTTTGACATGAATCGATAAATCCCAAAAAGAAAGGAGGTCCGAGAAAATTTTGATTCCTAAATGGCGGGAAATGAGCTTTTCCGACTTCTGAGGTGTATTTTAATGACTTTTTAAGTTATTCAAAATTCAAGGTTTTCCCCCTCTTGAAATTGATTCAATGAATCAATGAACCCCAAAGAAAAAGGGAGTCTGGGCTCCCCCGGGAAAATTTCGAATTCTAGATGGCGAGAAATGAGCTTTTCTGACTTCAGAAATGTCTTTTAAATTACTTTTTAAGTTCTTTAAAATTCAAGGTTTTCCCCTCTTGAAAACGGTCAGGTAAATTTTTCTCATTTTTTTATTTTATGTGTGTATACATACATAAACAAATGAGTAGTTGCATGCGTATTCTTTTTTCCATGAATCGATAAATCCCAAAAAGAAATGGTGGTCCGGAGGTTCTCCCCCGGGGAAAATCTTGATTCCTAGATGGCGGGAAGTGAGCTTTCCCGACATTTGAAGTGTGTTTTAATGACTTTTATGTTCTTCAAAATTCTAATTTTCTTATTGAAAAAAAAAATCAGCTCACGGGTCCTGAAAATGTAGGTCAAGAATTCTTTTTCCCCCCTTTTTGTTGCCCAAGGGAGGGGTCAGGATCCATGATCCCCTCCCCCAGATCCGCCAATGTGAATTGCGAGAAAATGTAACTCGGTCGGGGACTGGATAAACATTCTCTTTCCCAGCCTTCTCCTTCTTTCCTCATTCTTTTCTTGCATTGCTTTCCGATTATACAAAAATCTCCAGACATTATATATTTTTTGCCAAAAAGTTTTATGTTTTATTCAGTTATTATATTTCATTACTAACGAACGGATTCGTTATCAATAAAGGAAGGTAAAAGGTACGTAATATCCAGGGTTGTGCTAAATATGCAAATATGGAAAATTATGCAAGTCACTCTATGCCGAAGTGTATCCAGGGCTTTGTTGAACATGTAAACTAAATTAATATTAATGCCACCATAATATATGTTATTTTTGAGTGTTGAATTTTGAGGATAGACAAAGAACCATCATTTACGACTGCCAGTAAATACCTACATGGTGAAAATTACATAGTGAGAACTTTTTGTGAGCTGCCGAACTAAAAAGGTGCGAAGTAACATTAGCAGTCGAGACTATTGATATATGAGGTACTGTGCCTGTATGGTTGAAATCAGCAAATGTATACACACTCTTGACACGCGAGTAAAGTGAGAAAACGTCAAAAGTGAAATGCATTATTTTGAATATGAATGTTGAACTCTACCAGCTATTATGCATAGAAAATACAAATAAATTTATTTATAAAAATATAGAAACCACATTGATGTTATATTATTTTGCAAGCAAATAGATGATCATAAGATAGGCCGCCTAAGTCGAAATGTATTAACTTTATTTATTATGAGACGATCTGAAACTATGATAGAGCTAAAAGGCCTTAATCAAAATTAGTAAAGTTGAAATCGTAAACAAATTATTATATTATTTTGCTAACGTAATATTCGTTAAAATGTTGGAAGGGCCGTACTGTTACAAACTATTATTTGTTAACGACTATGGAAAAACGTACGTTACTGGTGATGGAATTCCATGGTTAATTGATATGATTGATAAGATAGAATAGTGCTAGTTTTGTACAGCTACAAATACAAAACTATGAAAAACAATAAGTGATATTGTTCTTTCTAATTTCTAGTAAGACAGTAGTTAGTGAAAAACCTGGTGTTAAATTATTCTGTATAGACAGAATGGGCGAGTCTATTCATAAATTCTGTGTGTAGGGAAAGAAAAAAAAACCATGTTGATTTTCATAGTTATATTTTATTGCTTTCTGTTGTTATCTTCAATTAATTTATTTGGCAGCTATTTAATTGGCTTTCTTTTGTTTGCAGAGGACAGACAAATCCTTACTGCAAGACATTGTATCAAAGAATCATGGCACTGTAAGTACCAAGTGAAATATAATGAAGTTTAAATTTTTAAAATTGTTTCTCTTTATGTGCTGTTTCTCATTCTTTATTAAATTTTATATTTGGCAGATGCAGCAACAGAGCATGACCAATGTTGCAAGACAGGAAAAGTATACTGAAGTTTATTTGGAAAATCTAGTTTAAAAAGCATAATCGCGGGACGTGAAAGAACACAAACAAGTTACTGGATCATGACAACTTTCATTCTGAAATATTGACTATATTATACAAACTGTATGAACTAGCGAATTGCAACAAGATGAGGAAGAGTAACCAGAACTACTATAATTCATTTTTCTAATATAGGCTGTGTAAAGCATTTTAACTTTTGGTTAATTTAATTGGTGATGCCTAATAGTTTGCAAGATAAGAGAAGACAACTTAATCACGGTGATTTTTATTATTTTTAATAAGTTTATTGGAGAATCAAGACAGCTTGCATCATTATAAAATACTGAACCAAGAGAAACAATTTCCTATAATTATTATTTTTTGTATATTTATATAAATTTATATGATTTTGGTTGTGAAGATTTTATAATAAAAAATATAAGTTGTGTTGACGTGTTTCTTTGCTGGTCGTGTCTGAAGACCGGATAAGCTTGCAAGACGAAAGAAGCGCCCTCTAAAAGAAAAAGGACCAAGTTTCCCATTTTCCCTCAATTTGTATTAAAGTGGTGCTGAAGGGTGCCCTCTAATAGAAACACAAAATTACCAGGGTCTCTAAATTTCTGTTTAAAGGGGTTCCCTGTGGTGCTGGAAAGCGCCCTCTATAGCCACTTTATTTCTAAGTTTTTCAGGGTCTCCAATTGTCAATTTCTATTAAAAGTATGGTAAAATGCGCCCTCTAAAAGCCAGTTTTTCAGCGCCCTCAATTGTCAGTTTAATATGTTTGACAACTGTGGAGTTCTGAAAAACCTGGTTATAGAGGGAGCTTTCTCCCTATTGACAATTACGAGACCCTAAAGAACTTGGGGTAAAAGGGCTGTTTGAGGGCGCTTTTCTTCACTATTTTTTCCAGAACTCCATAGACTAAAGTTGCCAAAAAACTTAGTCATATTTTGGGCCTTTTTCTATTCGAGGGCGCTTTTTTTTTTTTTCAAACCATCCTGCTCATTCAATACTCAAGAAGAAAAAAACAATATTCAATAGTATACTGAATACAATTAATATTTATTTATTCAATATTATTACAATTATTACAATAACTTAATACACTATGAATATTTATTATTAACTGAAATACTGAATACTAAATCGTGCAATTATCTAGAAAGCCAATACCAGATTGTCGATCAGTTTCCGGAATGAGTCATCATAGAGCACTGAAATGATATAATACAATATAATATTATATGTCTATTACGGGAATACTTAATGACAAACATCTATGCAAATACATCAATTAATAAGTCGGTTTGTATATAAGTCTGTTGCAGAGGGAATAACACACATAACTGTTATTGGGTAGAGAAAGAATAATATGCCAATACATCAATTAATAAGTCCATTGCAAAAAACATTGTGGAGGACAAACATTATGCAGCAAACATTAGTTTTCCGCATTTTGTACTTATGTATTGACATAGATTTTGTCGATGGAATATTCTTTTTCTCCCCAGTGACAGTTAATGTGTTAATCTTTCCTCCACAATAAACTGTCACTGGGGAGAAAAAGAATATGCCATCGACAAACATCTATGTCAATACATAAGTACAAAATGCTGAAAACTAATGTTTGCTGCATAAAAGCGAATTAGAAGGTAAAATTTTGGATTATATGTACATGTTTCCATTCGTATAGGAAAATTGAAAAGAAAAACATCTATTTGTGTATGTAATTCAGTTATCTAATTTATATTACACTTTATATTTTGAATTATGATTGATATATACATTTTTGATTGCCCAAAAGAATTGTTAAAATTACAATAAATTAAATCAATACCAAATAAAATATTTAAAACACCATATAAACTAGTACATGAGGTAATTTATATTATATTATTATATATTAGTATTGTATAATCTTTATTCTCAATGTTCATTAATATTACATTTACATAAGTTACAATTAATTAATTATATTAGATATGGTTGAACTGACCCTATCCCAGACGGTAAGTTTAGACCCTATTGAGTACATAGACTCGTTCCATTTCTTAAAAATCGTTCTCTACAACAATTCAATTGGCATTTCTGGGTATAAGCTGAGATCTACTTGATTTGGGGTATTTTGACCTTGCTGATTATGAATCTGGTGGATCCCAAGTGAAATTCTTTCATCTAATGACCCAAAATAGCCACTTTTATGCAAAATTATCCATTTTTTGAAAAAAAAATATGTATTTCGGTTACTGTTACTATAGGCATAGAGAGTTCTTTTTTTCTACCAAACTGTTCAAAAGACTCATGCTTATATTCGCTATAATAGAACAATTTCCAAACAAAATACCAGGAAAAAAGTTATTACCAAAAACCTCCATTCGGAAGAACGCATTATAAGCCAAAATCATAGTTTTAAGATATTGAGCAAAATGTGTTTCTTGCTAGCCTTTTGTTAAGGAAATGAATAATATCAATTTTTTTTGTGTAAATGTACTAACTACACAACAGAAAAACATACTGAAGTACTTTTTTTATATATTTTTTTCTATAACCCAGTCAAAATGGACATAATGAGCTTTTAAAAATTAAAACAAAAGCCAATGAAGCATGAAAAATCTGATGTTAGGCATTATATCCAGTTTTGCCAAAGAACGCATGCATTAGGCTTTACTTAGGGACTAAATGAAAAATAACAAATTAAAGTGAATTTTCACCAGAACTTTAGAGGTTTAAATTCCATTAAGTTTAAATAACTTAAAACAAAACAAAATAGAAAGTTTCTTAAGGGTTTTTGTTTATATTATTTAGCAACATTATCGCATTCACTCTCATAAAATATTTACAAAATGTGTCTGATCTGATTTAGTAAATGTTGTATTTCCCCTAAAATATGGTATGGTACAT